TCATTCTTAACTTGGAGAAAGAAAACTTTAAAATATAAAAATAATTTATCATTTGATACTTATTCATATAGGTCGTTTTTATATTTTATTGTTATCAATAAATTAATTATATTTGTTACGATGATAGGACTAAGTAAAAGGATCAATATTTTTTTTTCGATACTCATACCGGTCGTTACGTTACGTTATTTTCATTCCATTCGTTACCTAGTGAAAGTATCGTTACTTTTCTTTCGATATCATTTCTCTACCTGTAAAACCATAGATAATAGAAGAATGGATAGGCCATTACAACTTATCACATGGGAATAAATATTTATTTTGAGGTTACAAGGGGTCTTATCAATTATCAAAATGTCAAATTGTAAATTTAAATAATCAATATCTATAATAGGTGTTTTTTATATTCAGTTCTTTTCGTTATTCATCATATTTTATATTTAATGTTAATTTTTAATATTAATATTGAATAACAAAATCATACTTATATTTACTTATAATTTATAATTAAAATGATATTACCTATGTCGAATCTTAAATAAATATATAAATCACAATTTGGATCCATAAGTCGGTATAATGACAATATTTAATACACATTATTTACTCATGACTAAAATGAATAAGCTTTGTTAACTTAGCTCGGGTACGTTTTTCCTTAATATTGTTATCATTTATTTTTCTAATTTCGTGAAAAATACGAATGTCAACATATTTATTGATTGTTAAATTTATTAAATTATCTCTGCGCATATGCTTATTTAAAAATGATTCTTGTCCTGTGCAATATGGAATTGTTTCTTTTCCTCTTTTATAAATGTTCGCTTTAACTTTGTTAATTAAAAACTGTTTGTTTTTTGGCTTATTGTAATATAATGGAGATTCACTTCTAAAAATCTTTTCTGATTCTTGGCATAATACTTCTACAGCTTTGCTAGGATACACTAATCCTTCTCGGTTCTTAATATTTATTGAAGAATTAGGATTTTTATCGGACTGTTGAATCAAACAATTTTGGCAGCTTTCACATTTTAAATTTTTTAATATTTTTTTTACAATAAATCCATCTATAAACATAGATGTATCTTCTATGAATGAACTTATTTTTGTATAATTTTCAAAATAGTCATGGTCAATGTTTATATCTTGCTGTGGTAGCTAAGTGCTTTCTAAAGTTAATACTGAGTCCTTGGCCTTTTCAGTAACACTTAGATTTTTTGTGTTGTCCAAAATTGAACAATTGCCAAATATTGACCCAACTGCTTCATTATGGACTAAAATTCTTTTATAAGTTGCTTTAAATTGCATACAAGTTGGATTGTCGTTATATTCAAGCCTTGATCTAATAGCACTAAATGTTGTTTCAATAAAATCTTGACTAATTTTATAAGTTAAAAAAAATGTCATGTCACCTTTTGAACGTAAACTTTGGTACATTTTTATTGCATTCTGGAGCCTCAAAATGAAACCAACAAATCCAGTTTTTCTCGTTGATTCCATCTAAGAATTGTAGGCCTTTAACGTATTTGATAAAATGTTTATGTATATTTTGTAGTCGTCTAATGTTTCATCAGAAATAGCACGTTTGAATGGTGATTTCGAAAATCTTGATCTACTGTTTAGTATATCAAATACATTATTAATAAAATATATAAATTCTATTGTTGGCCCTGCTTCTTTGAAATCTTCATCTGTATTTTTTAAATAAGTAAGCGCATCAGCAATACTTTGACTCAATGTTTGAGCTGCTAATCGGACATTAATTTTCTCATTGTGAAAATTAACATGTCTCTTGGTCAGTCTAGTCCCAGCTCTTAATCCCTGTTCCTTTTCTAATTCATACAGTTTTTTAATGTACATCCAATCAATAATCTCTCCATTGGAGTTTTTAATCACCGACCTGTGTTCCCATGCATTTCTTATTAATTTCAGCATGTGAGCAGGATCAAAATAAATAAATAATTTTTCATCATATTTACTAATAATAAAAGCTCGAGGGTTCTTATGATCAAAATTAGCTCCTAATTCAGTACACATTCTTGTGTTTACATTTGCTCCATCAAATGTTATTGATTGGAGTTTAGCACCGGTATCATGTAATAAATGAATTCCTTCCTGTAATAGGTTAGCTCTTTCTTTACCTCCTAATCCATCAATAAGGAAATAAGCCAATGGCATTTTCCAGTAACTATTTATGCCTACTGCCAAAAACACTAAAGCATTTTTTGCTAGTGGAATATCATCACTGTCATAAGAATACTCAGCTCCCATGTTAATATATCCATGAACATTTTTTTGACTATCAATTTCAACTTGCTGCCTAATACACATCTCATCAATAACTAAATTACAATACACAGAGTGATCAACTGCTTCTTTTCTAATCGCTTCAAATGACTCTTGTGTGAACTCAGGTTTACCATCAACCACCATAAACCATCTACTTAATGAACGGGGATGTGGAAGCAAATTATTAAATCTTTTCCTGACATATGTGTAAGCTTTTGGAGAGTAGTATTGTAAAGTAACAGCAAACTGTTTAAGTTCATTAAAATACACCTGTTTTTTACCTTTCAAACCTCTTATAATAAATTGTTCCAGAACATCTGAACGTAAAGCCTAATATAAACAAAACAATCATGTAACTACATTAATATTTACTTTACAATTAATAATATACATAATAATTATACATTAATTTTAGTAAAAAGGAAATATTTAATGGAACAAATACATTATTAGTATAAAACAATAATGAATAATAAAACCATTAGATTAATACTAACACATTTTTCATGCAACACAACAACATACAAATAATATTATTTTTACACTCTACTGCCCAAACATTTAATTAATTACAATTATTTGTATTGATACCTTCATATTATCAGCTGTAAAATCAGTTAATAAAGATTTTTGTTTTAAAACAGATAACATGTCATTTAATGATGTAATTTTATTTTCTAAACGTCTGTTTTTTTGATTTATAATTTTGTTTTTCCTCCTCAAGTTTTGAACTGTCTTTTTTACAATTTTTAAATTTCTTGATGACCATCTTGGAGTTCCAAAATCAAAAGAAGTAAGATTGCCAATTCGACTAGTGTTATATACTTTCTTTTTCTTAAGACACCTGATAAAAAGTCAAACAATTTAAATAATATTACTAAAACTATTATTAAAATTTTATAAGGAAACAAAGTATCAGAAAATATAACATATACAACATAAACATTTTACTTACATATTTGGAAAACGCTCATGGGATGAATCTTCTTTTGTTTTTTTCTTAGGAGTTGAATATAAATAATCATTTGGACTCAAAGAGTGTCTAAAATTTTAATTAATAAAAAATTATTATTACATTGTTCATTCATATTACGTTATTCACATCTTAAATCACTTATCATCAATAATATTATACTATTATAAATTGTGATATATATAATACATACTTATGCATAGTTCTAGATGTAGAAGGAATGGGCGATATCAATGATAGATCTAGTTCTGGTATACTTTCAAATGAACTAAAATGTAATACATTAAAGAGTTGTAAATGACTTTAAACTAATTACTTTTCTAAATGAAGAATATTCTTACAGTGATGGAACAGTTAATGTTTTAAGTATCTTTCTATTAAGACTAAAATTATAGCAGTCTTGACCAAAATGATTACTACATACTGATTGGTTAGGTGTAGCCATTGATAAACCCAAGGCATCACACCATTTAAGCCTCTTTACTTCATTTTTCGGAAATCTAAACCAAAACAATTTGAAATATATTTTTGATATATTTTCAAATATGTATAAATGTATAATAACAAC